ACTATTAAAGTAATTATAAAACTGATTTCTTATATTAATCATTTTATCCAGTGTAAAATAATTTTTTCCCTTGAATAGGTGGTCTACTGACAGGAAAAATCATCAGGAGCTACTTGATGATTTAGAAAAAAATAGGGTGCTAATCGATCAGAAGGCTAGCACACATGTATGCATTTTAATGTTTAAAAATCGATTTTAGATTATAGTTATATAATTAGATTATTATTTTGATAAAAATATATATATATTTGTTTTAGTTTGAATGAGTGTCATATTCTAATAATGATATGAGGATGTGCATCCCACCTGAGTTGAGGGGCCCATCAGATATTTGGATGGCGATGGTCCCTTTGATCTGTTATGCGATTGTCGAGTGGCACTCCACTGATCGCGTGCTCCGGAAATTTGTTTGTTTTCAACCAATTTCGGAAGTACCTCGTAATATGGACGAGTTGCATAGCACAGATCGACGCGGCAAGTTGGATACAGTTTAACTAGTGAAGCATCATGAGTGGGTCGTGCTATGGGAGGATCGACATCGACGCCTTCTCCATAGAGAGCCCATTTATGATGACCTATTGATGGTTGGTGATGATTATTATGAGTGGTTCAATAGTAACGGAAAACTGTTTCTGATTTTTGAGGATGCACAAGGGCAGACCTTTCTGCGACATCGACTGAGATGTTCACCGACATAGTACCATCGTCACCCGACTTGTGGACGGAGAGGAGGTGCTTCCGGTTCGTCCTAAGCTGGACCAGTAGGACTTTCACAGCAGCCACCATCTGCATCGACTTACATACAGTAGCCATATATATGATGTCGCCACCGCCTGTCCCTTACCAGATGTCGTTACCACCGCCTTCACCTGGTTTTATGACCCTGCCGCCACCACCGTCACAGAGTTATATGACCCCTCCTGGAGGATATTATGGGTATATATTTGTAGATCCGACTTGGGGTTCATATACTGGTCATTTAGGGGTGCAGCCTTATCACCCATGGTCGCCGCATAGACACCTCATGTACAGTTTTCACACTTATCGATGTCTGGGTTTTATGAGTTTTTGCAGTTATCTATGAGCGGTGGGCTAGTCAGACATACATCTCCAGGGTCTTTATTCTATGGAAGTGCTACATCGTCATCAGTTCCTCATCAACAAAATATATCTGCTCCTGACGACGACGACGACGATGGTGATGATGATGACAACGAGGAATCACAACCAGTAATACGAAGATTATGGATATTGTAATTTTTTATAGCCATAATCGCTTCTTCTTTGCTTGAAAACTCCATGCCTAAAGATAACTCACTATTATTTATTGATGAGTAAAATCCATAGTCATCGAGATTAGGCATATCCGCAAATTCTGGCTCGTACATTGCACCATAATCAGCTTCATATATGTGTGCTGGAGGGTCAGTTTGTGCCATATTTGAGGGAACTTCATCATTAACGGAGTTGAGTTGCGGTGATTCTAGATGAATGAATAGTCCAGTTCATTACCATCCGCACCAGGCTCACGAAGCGGTTCTTCTGGTGGAGATGATAGTTCCTCCATGCTCTTCACATTTAAGTCGAAGAACCTACTACTTGCACGCCTTCCCTTTGAACTAGAAGGCATATCGACATTGAGATCGAAAAAACTCGTAGTCGAATGCCTTTCCCTGGAGCTTGTAGCCATTGTGTCAAATGGAAACTGCACAGATTGTTGCGTCGATGACATCTCCATATTAAGGTCAAAGAAATTTGCAAATGAACGCATTCCCCTAGAACTGGTCTCGATGTTGCCATACGGATTGTTTATGGACCCACATCGGTACAGATCGTAAGGAGTGATGAATGTCTCCCCATTGAAGTTGATTGAACGACAGCAAGATACAGATTTCCCATTATAGCATTAAAATCATTACACATTACTGTAGTCGGGATGTCAACTTGATCAACTTGTTCAGCCAACTCATAGTGGGAGCTTAATGATAGACCCCGAACAACACGCACTTGAACAAACTTTGCATACATCTCAATATATGCGTCTGAATAATTACTTTGAGAATCAACCATCATTTCAACATCATCATTGTTCGATAGTTCGAACGCTGTATATGTTAATGGCAACAATGATGTTGGAAATCTGTACTGCAACGACGACATTTTTTACTACTTCCAACATGAACTTTCCTTGAAATCTTCGTTATCAGCTCCTCAAGAGTTATGTTTCTCTTGAATGATATTTTAACATAATCATTTGATACGAAAATAACGTCTGTTTCATCTTCTCGAATTTCTCCATCATAATAAACAATAGTTGAAATTCACGTCATTATTAGAGTTTGAAAGTGCGACAATATTATATCTGCAAAAAACAACTAAAACAAACTTAATTAAATAAATAATATATGCACGAAAATATAACACAATAATTTTTTTTTACACATAAACGTAAATAATTTTACACATAAACATAAATAATTTAAATAATTTAATTTTATATTATTACCATATTAGAAAAATATTTCGACGTACGCTCTCGCTTTCCAATTATACAACCACAAAATTTAATTGAAAATAATTAATACAATTTTTTTTCAAATAATCATATATAATTATAAAAAATATTATAAAAAATTACCTTATAACGAAAGATCGAACGAAGTTCTGAATAAAATATAAAAGGATTGTCGTGTGTTTTTTACTGGTTAAGAGGATCATTGTAGTAGTTTCTAGGCTGAGAGGAATTTGTAAGAGAGTTTTAGGGGGAAGGAATATTTATAGCAGAGAGACGATGATTTAAAATTGAGAAATTCAGATAAATTATGCAAGGTGCGGCCCTTGCACCGTGCCTTGCATTATGCATGTGATAATTATAAGGCGCGACATTTGTACTGCGTTATATTCTTACGTTGCGTAAGACGCGTCTCAGGGGCCGCACTTTAGTCACGTATATCTATGTCAATATAAGACGTATTTCAAGGGTACACCTTACCTTACGTGACGCCATATTAACATAAAACGCGTTGTAGATGTCTTAATGCAAAATATGTTAAATCTATAAAAATAAAAAAAAAGTTAAAAAGGATATATGACTGTTAAAAAAAAGTCTGTCAGGATGATTTTTTTTTTAAAAAAATCGCCCGGAAGAGGGTGCATTGCTTTTAAAACAAAGGGAATGCTCTCCCTCTCTCGCTCTCTTCACTCTGTTACACTCCATTTTCAGTACTTCCCATCAACGTTTAAGAAGTACCATCTTCTTCTTTTTTTGGTTACCTGCTCTAAAATCCCATATCTTCAAGAAAGATTCAGACTTTTTTTTTGTTTTTATCTAGACTCTCCCAACAATGGAAGCTTTTAGCTTGCTTAAGTATTGGGGAAGGGGTGGAGGTGCTCATAATGCTCGTGCTGCTTCATGTTCAACCGGCGGCAGCACAACTACGATCGTGAATACTCATCAGGTGGTAGATACAGACGACGACGACAACGGGCCTTTCTTTGACCTGGAGTTTGCGATTCCTGATGAGGATGAAACAGAGGAGAACGAAGAGATCGAGGAAGAAAGTGGTAATGTTGAAGGAGAAAGTTAGGATCAAAACGATAGCGATGCTGCAAAATCTGATGACAGCTGCTCTGATGGTGATCGAGAGTTCAGTTTCACGCTCTCCTCTGGATCAAGCACGACCCTTCTGATCCGAACTTGATTTTATCACCTTCCGATGATTTGTTCTTTAAAGGAAAGCTTGTACCCATTGAAACAAACTCTTCTTTGGACTCAAAATCTCCTCTCTTCTCGGTCTCGTTGTTGAAATCAGCCACCAAGTTTAGATTTTTCTTGTTAAGATTGAAGAAATCAAAGCTCAACTTAACTGAAAAAACAGAGTCCGCCTCAGCTAATCCAAAAAAGCAAGAAGAAAACAATGATAAGAACAAGAACAAGCTTTTTACAGTGAAATTTAAGGTTGAAGAGGTTCCTATAATGTCTCTGTTCTCCAGAGACAACAGCAAGTCGCAGAAATAACAGAGCTCTGAAGAGACTGTTTCTGATGAAAATAAATTCTCCAAAGATGTAATGCAAAAATACTTGAAGAAAGTTAAGCCCCTTTATGTTCGGGTTTCAAGAAGGTACGGCGAGAAGCTTAAGTTCTCAGGGCAGTTGAACTCGGGTTCTTTGAAACCTGCAACGCCGTCATCTACAGCAGCTCAGAAACCGGTTTCGGGGAAGGTAACGACGGCGGAGGTGTTGTTTGGGAAGAACCCGAGCAGGTGAACATTCCTTCAGGCTTTAGAGAGATTTGTAAGCATTTGGGAAAGAGTCGATCGCCTTCCTCCGCCCTGGCGGCTGTTCCTACTGCGCATGCGGTGTCTAAGAGGAGAGATGATTCTGTACTGCAACAAGATGGAATCCAAGGCGCCATCCTACATTGCAAGAGATCCTTAATGGCTGTCAAGGTATTTCATTTAAACATTTTCACTTAAGATGAAACCTTTTTGAAACCATGTTAGGTCAATTTGTAAATGAATTTCAATTGTTCTTCCCCCACCCCATTTTCATTCATAGATTCTTTAGAGTCTTCCTTTTTGCCAAGGTCAGTAAGTGACCCATCCCATGGGAAGTCAATTAATCTGTCAATAAAACCATCACCAGATGAAGCTAAAGCGTGAAAAGAATTGTCATCCATCATGCATTGATTATGTCTGTAAATGTTTTTTGTTTATTTTTACTAGATAATGTGAAGATGACTGGTTAGTGGATTAGTAAGAAGAATCAGATCTTTGTATTGTTAAAAAATCAAGTATTGGAACTATCTCGAATCCTTGCCCTCATCCCACTTATTTGCAAGCAGAGTTTCGATGGATTTTTGTAACATTATTGCATCACAAAGTGGTTCATTAGTATCCTCTGATCTTGCTTTTATTCTTAGTTATTATACTTTACAAGTAACGTCATTGGAAAAAGAAAGAAAAATTATGCGGTAACCTAATCGACATAAATATTATATCTAGAAATCGAGTTCTGGCTTGCACTTGTCTCCATGAAAGCCTACGCCGGAGTGGGCGAGTCTAAAAGTGGTGGAACAATTGAATTTCACCAAAACGTTTCTCTTGATAATGTTCATAATATCTATCCGGCCTGAGATTCTGGTGTAACTGCTTATATTCAATCCCTTTGAACTGATGATTTCAATCACAAAGCCCGGATCAGCCAGAAATTTCTCCGGATCGATTTCCACCGTAACGTTCCTCCGCAATGTACGCTTGGGCTTAGCCTTCCCTTTGAAATGGATACCCTCACCCACCATCCTGCCACCATAGTAAATCATCGTCGTGCCGTTATCAAATTTGAAGGTCGCTGCATTGGGGTTCTCCACTGAAACATCAGCTAAAATTGTTACGCTTACATCGGTCCTTAGAATTCCCTTGGTTGAAATCTACAGGCTCTGGATTGTTAAGGAATTCAACCTCACCATTGGATCTTGTATGTGAAAAACAGTGAAAAACAGGACTAAAACAACGGCGGCTAGGATTAAAAAAAAGTGCGGTGATACAGCTGAAGCACTGAATACATCGTTTCTTTTTCGACTGCAGTTCCATCGACAAGGCTATCGGGGGCAAAGGGCTTTACCTGCTCTTGCTCAACCATTGCCTAAGTTATGGTATCTGTGACTTTGGTGCACGGCGATATATAAATATATACTCTGCCTTTGACCATTTGGCTAAGAAATTCTACCGTGAATAAAACATCATTTGCTACGAGATCATTCAATTTAAGAAGCTTCTGCTAGTGAAAATTTAGGAAACTTCCCATTTTTTAATTTCTCTTATTTATTTTCTTAACTTCGTTGCTTTCAAGATTCATTTACAATCTACTGTGTGTGTATATATATGTGTGTATATATATATATATATGAGATAGAATTTTGTTATATAATGTAAAACTCTTTTAGTTTTATATAGATTTAGGACCATTGGATGACTGTAAATAGATGATTGAGATTAACAGTAGGAAATGAGAAGATAAAACAAGGAGTCAATCTTAGTCATTTATTTTCACTCATTCAATAGTCTTAAATCTATATAAAAATATATATATATATATATATAAAGAGTTTTATATTGTACAATTGAATCATATATATATTATATATGTATTTCATTATTCCTAAAATTAATGTGTTAAAACTAAGTTGGAGTAATTAAAAATGCGAAAGAAAGAAAACATTCGTTATCTTATTTTATTCTACAAATATTATATATTTTAAAATAAATTTTGTTATATTTCTTCGCACATAACCTTCACACGTCTCATAATTATCGAAGAACTTTAAAATAATTTTGACTTCCGAAAAAAACGTAAAGGAAACGTCTTCGAAGGAAAGATCTAAATCTTAGAAATTCGTGACTTGTTAATATGACTTGTGATAGACGAACGTGACCTATCAAAATCAAATCCACAATCACCTGATTATATCTACTTAGCTTGCTAACCTACGAGTAACTATTATAGCCTTACGATTAACACACACGCAACTACAAGTAACTATTATAGCCTTACAACTGACACATACGCACCAACGAGTCCATATATAACATCTCGAGCATGATCAAGAGATACATGTGACCCTAACGAAATCACCTCACTTTGATTCTTCTATGCTCTACCTCCTCATGTAGATAGAGTTCAACGACACAAACCAACAGTAAATTCTTTACCAATTGTAATTATCCGTTCAATAGATCAATAATTTTAGCCAATATCCTTCGAGATATTGGTAAGGGCTCCAGAAAGTGACTAAACTTTCACTCTTACGTACGTAGATGATTTCATTAAGTCTATCTCAATATAGACCATTCAAATCAGAACTATGAAATTATTAAAAACATTTACTAATATCTTATCATATTTAAATTCGGTGAATTCATAAAGTTTATCTCAATAAAACCACTCAAATCTTAATATACATTAATTCAATAAAAAAGTTCAATCTCATACATCGATAAATTTAGCAAGCATATTTCAATAAGACTTTCTAAAACCTAATATATGAATTTACTAAAAGAAAAACTGAATCTTAAAAATGAACATAGTACTCCATAGAAATAGGTTTAATAGTACCTAAATAAGTATTTTCCATGATTTCATTTAATAATACCTAAACTCGTCGATCTTTCACGCTAATCCCTCTAATGAAACAATGTTACAAATCCAAAACCAAGAAGCAAGAAAGATCTATCCACCCCCTTAATCTCATCTCAAATCATGTATGGAACCCCCTGTAAAATTAAGTTTCATGAAGCAATTCAACTGAGGGTGCCATCTTCTCTTCTTGATCTTCATAATATTCAGTTTTCCAATTAATTTAACATGGCTGCTCAACTGAACTTATATGACTGCTCAAGCCCGTCGTATTGGGTACCCGAAGTGAGCTCACATCAACTGAAACATTCAACCTCTCTGTTGCCCTAGCTTGAGCTCTCCCTCTAGGTATTTTCAACTCTCTGACGATGTGAGAAAGGGGCCATCAATGGCAAGGTGAGTATGAAGAAGAGATGAGCAACAAGTATCCAGTAAAGAAAGTATCACACTTGTATATTGATTGTGTAAAGAACTATGTATGGAATACAAAACTTCTGTTGTTTATATACAACTTCTAATGTCTAATACAAGCCTAACAGACTTCACAACTGACACTAACAACCCTAACTTCCACTAACAGCTTCAAGAAGCTCCTAACTACTTTACTAACAACACCCTGCAGGCTAAGCATGCATACGCAGTAGCACGAGCAGCACGGGTACTGTAACACCCTCAACTCGTACCCGACCCGGATACGAGTCCGATGTGTCACATTGACTTTTCAAACTTCGACTCTTAACGAAAAATCAAGGAAATTTAAAACTTTCATTAAAATAATATTGTTACTTTACACAAGTTAACCAAAACAAGACAAAACTGATCAGAGCATTTGTAACAGACACTTTTCTTACATGCCAATACTATACACGACAAAAGACATACTTTATCCGTTACTTTTGATCTGATCTTCTAGCAGTGCTGCTGTTCTTGCCACCCTATTTTCGCTCTTCCTGATTCTTGGTACCTACATGTAAATCACTTACATGCTAAGTCATAGATTTAGTGAGGCATATAAATATAATAATAATGCATTCATTATGAATATGAACATGCAATCTATCCATTCAATCCTGTCGTATACAATTCAATGTAAACAATAATAATATGGTAACATATAACTATAACAATGTAATTACCTTTGATAACCTTTTATAGGCCCATGTACATTTTTGAGAACTCAAGGTATTCGAGTACATTGAGGTTGTGCACTATGCTGTCACCATAGCTCATATGAGTCCCATTAGGGGCTATGAAATTTTGTCCCAAAGGACCTATGTATTGTATTTGTCTCGAATGACCACTCCTTAAGAACCATATACATATTCCAGTGGATCAAATCTGTCTCAAAAGACATTGTAAATGTTCCAAAGGATACATATATGTCTCGAAGGACCACGTAGAACCCTCGACTCTTGGCATGCCAACTATACCTATAGCTCTCATATCATATACCATGGGAATTATTCTTATATTTCATATGTTCATGTATTCATGTCATTTCTCTTGTGATCATATAACTCATATCACTTACCATGTCACATGTGCATTTAAATCTATTCACCTATATCATTTATCAAATCATATGAACATATATACTTTATGCATGTATCATAATAATTATCATGTATGCATGTTCATAACTATTGTGATATGAAAATCATCATAGGAATTAGACTTATCACAAGTCTTATTCCATTGTACCATACTTCTAATATGTACTCACCTTAGCCTTGCTTTGACTCGATTCTAATCCTTCAATTGTTCCGGAACGAGATTACGTTCTAAATCTACATATTAATACATTGATACATATCAGTATACTAATTAATATATTCTAAACTATCATTTCTTAGGCTAATAAGAAAGTTATTTTTATCTTTTAATGAAGGTATGCATCGATGCACTACACCATGTATCGATGCATCCCTTGACGGGTGCATCGATGCACTGTCTATGCATCGGTGCATAAATCCTATTCGATGTTTGTATTTTAAGCAGGTGCATCGATGCACTCCTTATGCATCGATGTTCATTTATTTGAGAGTGCATCAATGCACATTGAAGATGCATCGATGCACACAACCTAGAAATGATACTTTGAGCACAAAAATCCATTCTTTATTCTATAAACTCTTCATATTTCATCCCTTTTTCTATTATTAACTCTTATATATCTATTTAAACTAATCTATACTCATTTATTTCATCTTAAACCCCAAAATCCTATCATCCTTATGAGATTCAAGAATTATACCAACTTTGTAACATGATTTAATTACACTTCTAACACTTCATATGTCTTAACTAGATTGATGACAAGTCAAATCCAACTTCCAATTCTAATTATCAACTCTATATCAAAAATTCATTCAAGAACTCCAAATCTTTAATCTTCCCTAACTCTTTTATCTTTTGATTTTAAGGTAACTTAAACTTTCCTTAAGCTTAGTTATCATCTAACAATCAAAACCTAAACTTTAAATTAACAAATAATCAACAGATCAAAAAGCTTACCTTTGCTTGGCTCTTTTTCACGTATGAAGAAAAAGAAGAAAGAAGAAAGGTCTGGAGAAATCTCTCATTTCCCACGTGTATATATCCTTACCATATCCCATTTTTAATTCATTTCTTGGTCAAATGACCCTTTTGCCCTTTAATACCTTTTATAATTACTAGCATCTTTAAGGTAATATTTCCAAATAAATCATTGAACTATTCAATTATCCTACTTCAATCACCAATTTTTGAAACTTTACAATTTGGTCACTAACCCGGTATTGAGGATATTACAGGCACCATTGTTGTTGACTCATCATGCTAACATTCCCTCTACTTCTTCTTCTTCTGTTCTTCTGAACTTGAACATTCATGAAATCCAATCTTCTCTCAAAAACTTCAAATGCTGCTTTAGCCAATGGTTTAGTAAAACCATCAGCCACTTGATGCGCTTCTTGATGAAAAGACGAACACTTGAAACGAAAGTGCGCTATATCCTTCCGTTTAACTTGAATCGGAAGTGCCGATGTTTCCTTCCTTTCCGACTTGAATTGAAAATGCCAATGCTTACTTCCATTCGACTTGAATCGGAAGTGTCGATGCTTCCTTCCGTTCGACTTGAATCAGAAGTGCCGATGCCTCATTCCATTTGACTTGAATCGGAAGTGTCGGTGCCTCCTTCTGTTTGACTTGAATCGAAAGTGTTGATGCCTCATTCTGTTCGACTTGAATCAGAAGTGCCGATGCCTCCTTCCGTTCGACTTGAATCAGGAGTGTAGATGAAATCACAAACGTCTGATTTATCTTCAGACTTAGATTCGTCAGATGAGATCGCGGAGGAACTCCAAGTACCATATTCTTTGAAATCAATACCCCCTTTCTTAACAGGGGAAAGAGATGATTATTCCTTGTAAAATGATGAGTCAACTACAGAGACAGAACTCTACTGCAACTCAGTGAAGTGGTCATTAGTTAAGTACGTCTCAGCTATAGAATTCAATACAAGTTCA